GGGGGCAGCAGCTGGGCTGCGGGGCGCGGGGGACAAGTCGGAGGTGCCTGTGGGTAGATGCGGGGCTGTTGGGAGCTGGGGTCACGGCAGGGTCGTGGGGTGGGTCAGGATTACCTGGAGTACTCCAGGTGCCTCCAGGATTACCTGGAGTGCTGCATCCAGCTGTGGAACCCCCAAGATCAGAAGGATATAGACCAGTTGGAGCGAGTCCAGAGGAGGCCACGAAGATGCTCAGAGGGCTGGAGCACCTCTGCTATGATGAAAGGCTGCAAGAATTGGGCTTGTTCAGCCGGGAGAAGAGAAGGCTCCGGGGAGACCTTATTGCAGCTTTCCAGTACCTGAAGGGGCTACAAGGAAGCTGGGGGGGGGCTTTTTACAAGGGCCTGTAGTGACAGGACAAGGGGTAACGGGGTTAAATTGAAAGTGGGGAGGTTTAGATTAGATACCAGGAAGAAGTTCTTCCCGGAGAGGGTGGTGAGGCCCTGGGACAGGTTGCCTAGAGAAGCTGTGGATGCCCCATCCCTGGAAATGTTCAAGGCCCGGCTGGATGAGGCTTGGAGCAACCTGGTCTAGTGGAAGGTGTCCCTGCCCATGGCAGGGGGTTGGGACTAGATGGTCTTTAAGGGCCTTTCCAACTCAAACCCTTCTATGATTTTATGATTCTGTGATTTTGGAGGGCTGGTGGGATTGAAGGTATTGGGCCAGGAGCTGGGAATATGGCACAGGATGTGCAAGCTGACAGGAGCACGAGGCTGCGGGCCGTGGCACTAGAGGTGTGGGGTGCAGTGGGAGCTACTGGGTGGTACTGGGAATGGCTGGTGGGGGAGTGGCTGTGGCTGGGTGGCAGAGAATGCACCAGAGGAAAGGGAGCTCCTGGCCTTGCTGAGATGCTGTGGGAGGCAGCTGATGCGCTGGCTTTGCTGACCCCTGCTTCTGAGGCCCTGGCTCTGGCTGCCATCTCTGTGGTTTCTCCTCCTTTCCTGGCAGGGCTTGAGGCATTCGGTTTCCTTGGATAATTTGTCTTTCTGCTTGGAGCAGCAGTTTGGTGACTTTGTTACTTTAGGGAATTTGCAGCTTCAGGAATGTGGCTTTTCAGGATCAAGCAGCACATTGGCATTTCTAGGCAGTGGCTTCAGCGTGTTTTGGAAGGGAACTGAGAGAGCAGAGGACTGTGTAGGCTAGGTTGCACTGAGGGATAGCTTGTCGACCTTTCCCAAGACTGATGGATTGTGAAGTGATCCGTGGTGTCTTGATGATGAGATGAGCTGGGAAGATAACCCAGTGATCCGTGTAACAGGGTGAAGAAAATGCCAAGGAAATCTGGAGGAATTCACTAAACTATGTGACATGAGAGATGTTGCGAAAGAGTTGCACAAAGCCTCCGACATATTTGGGATCGAGTGGGGGAAGGATAACCTTACAGCTACTGTTGTCATCCACGGTCACGTTACAGAAGTGCCCGCAGAAAGCTTTGTCTCTTCGAAGATGCACAGAGACCAGAGCTGCCCCCCCTGGTTCTCGTCAGCTGTATGACACTCATGACAAACCCACCTTGACAAGAGGGGGAGCCAACAAGTGTCCTCTGGCTGCTCTGACCTCGTGCAGAATCACACGTCAGGAAGTATTAAATCGCATCACGTATCCTTGAGCGAGAGGGGCGGTTTTGTCTAACCTTGTGGCCGTTGTGCAATTGTTGGAATAGGCGCGTTGAGCATCTCCCGTGTGTTGCTGTGTAACTTGTCCTCGGTGCTGTCGCAGGCAGCTCGGCTGCACCCGTCAGTGGGTGGCACAAAGAGGCTGAACTCGTTTTTGTTAAATGATGGGGAGAGGAGGATGCTGCTGTTACCAAAATCCATCACACGTGTCCCGTGAATGCCACGCTCACTTTTTGAGGTTGTGGGGGAGACAAGAATGGGAAGCCTGCAGAAGTGCTTAATGTCTGGAAGGTCACTGCGTGAAAGGGAGGGAAGAGTTTAGGGAAAGGGAGCAGGCAGATGCCAATAATAGGGCAAAGGGTAAGTGGCTTTCTCCCGTTTACCTCTCGGACGGCAGGAACACCAGAGTAGCCCCTCCTGGTAAAGGGAGTGCTGGGGCTCAAGGTGCATAATTAACCCTGGGGATGTGCTGCTGCCAGATGAGGAGACAGAAGTTTCACCGGCTCACCCCTGCGCTTGCCATGCGGATGAGGCAGGTCCGGTTATAGCTCTGCTGGTGCGCGTGCCGTGGCCTGCGCAGCTCTGCCTGCGCTCGCGGGTCGCCCTGGCGGGGTTGGCGCGGTCACGCCACGCAAGGAGGGCTTGGTCACACCTCCGGCGCCTGAGAACTGAGCGAGTTCTCCCACCGTAGCTGAGCGAAGGGACTCCTAACCGCGGGGACCATCAATAGCCGGTTGTGGTTTGATCATTACACTTCAGCTCTTTCCTGTTGATTAGGAAATCAGCAGCTTTGTGCAGATGCTGCTTTCGGTCTCTGAAAACGCAGGGCGGCAGAATGCTTGGCTGTGGAGACAGTGTTCGTCTCGGATCTTCTCCACGGTGATTCAGAGGCATGGGAGCTTTTCCTGAGCTTGCAGAGCGGGATGTTGGGATGCAGGGTGTGAAGGGGCTGTGCGAGTGCTCCCCGCAGCTCACTCTGCTTCGTCACAGTGCACAGCACCCGCTTGCTCTTGGGCTTTTGTTCTCCTGCAAGAAATTTTGCCGGTACCTTATGGCTGTTGCTCAAGGCACCCCCAGTTCAGTCCGTGCCTATCGACTGTGCGACCGGCTGAGCTCCTCCTCTTCCTCATGGTTCCCCTTCTCTGCTCTATCCAGGCTCCCTCTTCCTGCTGTGCTAAGCAGGGTTGGAAGCTCTGTCTCTGGAGCTGGGGCTGTGTGCTGTCAGTAAACACTTGTCATCCCTTCTCCCATCCCCAGCAACCGCTCTCCGATGAGCAGTGTGACAATACTAGAATCAGCTGCTTTAGGAAGAGCCAGTAAATATGCAACAGCAGGAGACACGTGCTGAGACAAGGCCGGGCAAAGCCCTGAATGAAACCTTTTGGCTTCTGAGTGGGGGGGTGCCCTGTCAATCATGTAGGCAAGACTTCAGCAGGGTGGAGGGATGAACAGGGCTGTCCACAGTGCCCGGAAAAGCTCCTGGGCAAAGACAGAGAGGCCACGTGACTGGAAGGTGTTTTTTATTTTGATGGAGGTAAGCTGTTTTGTCCAGGTGGAAAGTGAGTTCTTGTGGGATGCAGCAGGTCCTTACCAAAGCCTCCTGAGCAGTCTCTTCCCCCGTTGAGTTGCAAGAATATTGAGGAAGGAGGTGAGTGAGGCAACCTGGCAGGGTGTCTGAGTCAGTGCTGGAAATAGACTCCGGGAGTCCCAGTGCTCCGTCTGAGCACAAAGCTGCCTTTCTCCCTGCCCTCCATCCTGGAGGGAGTCTGTGCAGGTCTGGCTCAGCACAGCGTGGAGGTGGTGGAGCCAGGGTGGGAAGCTAGGTGATCACTGGTGTCTGGGCTGTTTGCTCAGCCAGCTCTCCATCAGGAAGCGCCTGGGGAGCTGCCCTTTGTCTCCTCCTGACCTTCTCATGTTAGAGAAACATTCTGTGGTGTCTCAGTGAAGCGGAGCACAGCAAGGCTGCTTCTCTCTGGAACTACGTGTTGGTCACGGGTGCAGCCAGGCTACAGGGAGAGGGTAAAGGCAAAGTGCAGGCAAGTTCACACCTCGCTGCCTGCTCTGAGCTCTGATCTAGTTGGGGCATCTCTGGGTCCCAGGCATGTTTGTAGGCAGGGCAGGAGGCAGCTCCTCCAACTGGGTGCACGTGGCTCCTTCAGTGCCTGGGGGGGTGCCAGCACACGGCCAGCCTTTCCCACTGTGGTGCCGGGGCCCTTCCCAGCATCTCTCTCCAGCAGCGTGCCTGAACGATGGTCTGGGATCCCTTTGGTTCACTCTCTTTACCTCCTTTCTCCAGGAGTGAAAGATGGAAGCTGGAGCGTGCTGCAGCTTGTGGAAGCCCTGGGGTAAGAAAAGCCTTATACGTGTTACGCATTGCATAAGGGCCTGGCGGGGGAGATTCCCCTGAGGAGGGACAGTGAGAAGGAGAAGTGTGTGTGTGCTGGTCCAGGGCGGGCAGCTTCAGTGCTGGTAGGCACACGGCAGCACACAGGCCTGCAAGGATCTGTCTGCTCACAATATGGGGCCTGAGCCGGGCTTTGCCCTCCCAGGACTTGGGAGGTGTTTGGGAAAGAACAAGGCTGGAGCAGCTCTAGATGCTCTCCCGGGACTGAGAAGAGGTGTCGTGGCAGGCAGCAAGCTGCAGGGCACTTCTCAGTCGTGTCTGTCCCCAGCAGCCTGAGCACACTGCTGCACTTCGCCGTGTTACGAGTTGGCCGGCACTTGACTTTTGCTTCTGTCTCCGAGCTGTCATGGCCTGGGACGTGGGGAGTTTTGTTTCTCCCAAACTGGTGGCTGGGTTTGCCTTGTTGGAAAAGGCTTTGCCCTTTCTTGGCCCTTGTGATCTCGGGAGCCTGAGTTTCAGGTGCAGAGCATGGTGCCAGAGCAATTTCTGACTTGAGAACTCAGTTTATTGCTGCATGGCTCTGGGGCTGGGTGCACGCGGCAGTCAGGGGAAGGGGAGTCTGCTCTCACCCTGCCTGAGGAGCGGCATCTCTTTGTTTTTATCGCGTGTCTGCTCAGGATGTGCTTCCTGCTTGAGTGTTCCTGCTCACAACAGGCCTGTTGGGCTTTCTCCCCACTTGGGCTAGGTCTTGCCTGGAGAACACAGATCCTCGGACGCGGGGGCGAGGCATCCAGCTGCTCTCACAAGTCCTGCTCCAGTGTTACTCCCTGCTCCAGGAGAAGGAAGGTAAGGGCTGCTCTGGGCCCTTGAGTGGCTGCCGGCAGGTTGCGGGCAAAGCCTCTGCCACTTCAGTATCTGTCCCGCAGTTGGCAAAGGGATCGATTTAGCACCGTGACAACCTTGTATGTGTCTCTGGAGTCAAAGTCCGGGGAGGGCACAGGGCTGCACGCTGCAGCCTTTGTGGCAACGTCACCCCGCAGTTCGAGTCGCTCCCGGAACGTGCTGAAGCCCTGTTGCTGAAGCTGGTGCCCCCGGCAGTGTGTGGGTGTTGCACACCCAGGTGTGCTCAGCGCCACGTGGGACGCCTTGGAGACACATCTGTATGTCAAAATCCCTGGGTGCTGACTCAGCTCGGGGAGTCATGCCCAGGTTGACTATAGGGGAAGCCTGGGGAGGGGGGAGATCAGCGTAAGGATGAGAGTGGAGTGGAGAACAGGAGTGGGAAGGGGAAGATGCCCAATTCAGGGTGGCAAGGAGGAGGTTTGGCTGTGTTAAATGCCCCATAACAACTGGCTGGCAGCAGGGGAAGCCAGAAGGTGCTGCCAGTCTCTGACCTGGACAGAGAGCCTTGCTGCTGGGTAGCTGAACCTGTGCCAGCAGGCTGGCAGGGCAGGGGTCAGCGAGTAGGTGAGGTGGGAGGAGGGAAGGATGGAAGCAAAAGGTGCTTAGTCCTCTCTAAGGCTCTCTCTAAGTTTCATACTGGTGCCAAGCAGGGCCAAGAGCAGCTGTGCAGAGTATGGACAGACTATCTATGGGTGCAGCTGGAGTCGCGTGTGATGACTGGGGTGTTCTGGAGGGACAGCTGGGGATGGGGAGGGTCGTGGGAAGGCCTGGCAGAGCCAGGGCAGCTGGGTGAGGGGAGCGAGCTGGGTTACAGCCAAGTCACCAGGAGCTCTGGAGGAGCGTGGGCAGAGCCAGCTTCTGGGAGGGCACAGGCAGCTGCTGTGACACCCCCGGCTGGCTCCATCTCCCTTGTCTCCCTTCGTGTCCCTCCTCGCACAGTTCATTTCTCAAGTGCTGCGTCAGGCCGCTTCCTGGGGGGGTGAGTTTCTGCAGCAGCTGTGGGCACAGGATGCTGCTAGCCGGCTCTTCCAGTCTGCTTCCTGCTGCCACTCCCCAGGGCCGGGGTGTGCTGGCGCCCGTGGCCGTGACTCAGGTGCCGGGAACGTGTTGTGGAGCCAGCACAGGAAAGCCGTAGCTCCTGCTCCAGCACTGCGCCCCACCCCACGACATCCTCCAGTTGTGGCTGAGTGGGTGTCTGCACCCACGTGTCTGGACAGGCCAGGGCAAACACCTCTGGGGTAGTTCCAGCACCTCAGCAGCGCCTGGAGGTGGGTGCTGCCACGCTGCGGTCAGACCTGGGCTGCTGGGGGAGGGCGAAGGTGTTGGAGCCAGGTGGGTGCACCCAACAGTGGCAGTTAGTCCCTTTCACCAGTGCAAGGTACGCTTGCCATTCGTCTGGCAGCTGCTTTTGGCAGAGCTGGGACCGGTGCCCACGAGCTGCGTCTCCCGGGACTAACTCACGTTGGTGTCTGTTTCTGACAGTGCTGCATCTGGTCCTGTTCTATGAGAATCGGCTGCAAGATCATCACCTCGTGATCCCCTCGGTGCTCCAGGGACTCCGAGCGCTGGTGAGCTCCCGCCCCACAGAGCCGCGATGTGCTCCCGAGTGGAGCCGGTGAGGCGCAGCGCCTGGGCGCAGGCCAGAGCAGCACGTCGAGCAGGGCTCGGCTGGGCTGTCAGCTCCTGCCCAGGCATTGCCCTGTCTCCTCGGTGCTCCTGTCCCCTTTGCAGAGGGGTGGGAGAGGGGAGGCTGCCTTGATTTCCTGCCCCGTGCTGGTGTTGGGGCAGGGATTCCCCGTAGGTGATAGGTGTCCTGTCCTATCCTGAGCTCTACCCAGGAGAGGAGGGGACCCTGCAGGTACAGCAGCAGGAGCTCTGCTTTATGTCTGCCATCACTGTTTTCTCTTCTTGCTTTTCTCTTTTCTTGTCCCAGAGCATGTGTGAGGTGCTGTCCCCGGGCCTAGCGGTGTCTGTGCTCAAAGCTATCTTCCAGGAGGTCCACGTGCAGGTGAGCAACGTGATTCCCATCCTCCTGGTCCCGCTCTCCAGCCGTCTGGGGACGGCCTGCCTGCCCCGAGGACTGAGTGCATTCGGTAGCAGTGCAGCGTAGCACGGCCTTCAGCAGCGGCGCAGTACCGCCAAGCTTAGAAACGGCACATCTCGCTGCAGAGCGAGAGGCAAACAGCTCTTTGGCCCTCGTCCTCTCATCTCTCAGCCCTGGGGGAGTTATTTCCTTTGCTCTGTTCTCTGTTCTCTTAAATGCTCCAGGCTGCATTTAAGTGCCCCCAGCCCCTGTATTCTCCTCCAATTTAAGATTGTTTATGCTGGCAGAGCCTTGGGCAGCGTGTGTGGCCCTGGCGTGACCGTGATTCAAGCAGTGATGGACATGGTCATGTTCAGGTGCTGTCATGTAGGCATCTGTGCGCTTTGCCTGTGGTCAATGGGATCTGCGTGCCAGGACGCAGCAGCTGCTGCGCTCATGGGCATCCTGCCCCCTTCTCAAGGATACATGCTGCCCTTGGGTGGTGGGTAGCAGCGCAGCCATGTGCTGAGGCTTGTTTTGATGGTTCTGCTTCTCCCTCCAGTCCCTGCTGCAGCTGGACCGCCACACAGTCTACAGCATCATCACCAACTTCATGGCCACCAGGGAGGAAGGTGAGGGGGCAGATGCCAGAACCACTTTGGGGTTGTCCAGGCTGGGAAAACGTTTCGCTTTTGCCTTCTCCGAGGGCTCTGTGGCTCTGCCTGGGGAGAGCTGGAATGGCTGTGGGGCTGGGGAAGCCGGGCTGGTTTCATGCCATGTTGGTGAGGTCTGGTGTCCTGCAGCTGCTCACAGTCCTTCTTTCTGCAGAGCTGAAGGGCCTGGGTGCCGACTTCACCTTCGGCTTTATCCAGGTGATGGATGGGGAGAAGGATCCCCGCAACCTGCTGTTGGCCTTCCAGATCGTGCACGATATCATTACCAAGAACTACGCCCTAGGTGAGCCCGTGCCGGCCATGTGGAGCTGGTCGGGGGACCTGTCGCTTTTCTCAGAGCTGTTGGAGGGATGGCCCTTGGGCCTGAACAGGGCTGAGGATGTCCCTGAAGTGCTTTGGTTGTCCCTGGCATCCTTGGTTGCCCCTGACATGCTGTAGAAGCTGCAGAGCCAGCCTGTCATAGGTGCTGGGCATGGCTGCTGTGCGTCTTTTGCCCAGCGCCTCTGCTCACTCCCTCTCCCCTCTCTCTGCAGGTCCTTTTGTGGAGGAGCTGTTTGAAGTGACGTCCTGCTACTTCCCCATTGATTTTACTCCAGTGAGTGAGTTTGCCCCCTGCCACAGTCTGTTCCTTCTGCTGTTTGCTCAGGGGGTCATGTGCCCTCCAGGGAGTGGGAGGAGAGGGTGGGCAAGAGTCTGGGCTGGGCAGCGCTGTGCTACGAGCTGGGGTACCCAGGCTGACAGGCCGGTGCCAAACGGCCTGCAGGGACTGGCATTGCTGCTGCTTTCCTGGAGATGAGGTGATGCAGCCTCGGCTGATAGCTGGGGTGGGAGGTTTCCTGACCTGCTCTCTGTGCTTGTATTCTAGCCCCCCAATGACCCTCACGGCATCCAGAGAGAAGACCTGATTCTGAGCCTCCGGGCTGTACTGGCCTCCACGCCCCAATTTGCTGAGGTATGCCCTGCTCTGCGCTCTTGGCAGAGGTTGAGCTTGCGGCCCTGCAGGGCCATGGACTGGGGTGCAAAGGTGGGCTGAGTCTCGGCTTCTCTCTACAGTTCCTGCTCCCTCTGCTCATCGAGAAGATGGACTCAGACCTGCAAAGTGCCAAGCTTGATTCCCTGCAGACTCTGGTAAGGAGGGATCCCCTAGTCCCTCAGCCCACAGCTTTCTGCCTCTGAGCTCTTCTTCCTGCCAGCCAGAGGCTGTCCCTTGCAAAGACACAATTTCCAGGGTCCCAGTTTGTCCTGCATGACTCTCTCCTCTTTGTCTCTCCCTTGAGTGGTTCATGCAGTTCAGCATGAGCCTGCCAGGATGGGCAGCGTCCCTGCTGTGTGTCCTCCTGGTACTGGCCTCTCTCTGATGCTTTCCTCTGGCTCCCTCTTGCAGACTGCCTGCTGTGCCGTCTACGGGCAGAAGGAGCTGCAGGAATTCCTCCCCAGCCTCTGGTCATCCCTGCGCAGGGAGGTGAGTACCACAGGGCCCCTTACAAATGCTCCACCTCGCCTGGGCTCCTGCAGAGCAGGAGTTCACAGCCAGAGCAGGCAGGCCCCATATCTCCCCACAGCCCACACCAGGGACAGCCCCAGCCGGTAGGTGGGGGGACAGGCCAGCCCTATCAGCGTGCCCCCGGGGCTTGGATGTTGGAATCCTGTGGGAAGCGAGATGGGAGCCCGAGCCCTTCAGCCTGTGTTGGGAGGGCAAAGCCCATGGCTGGGTCAGCGCAGAGCTTGGCTCATCCTGCGGCCTCTCCTGCAGGTGTTCCAGACGGCAAGCGAGAAGGTTGAGGCGGAGTGCCTGGCCGCGCTGCACGCCCTCTCTGCCTGCCTCTCCCGCTCCGTGCTCAGCTCTGATACTGAGGACCTGCTGGATTCCTTTCTCAGCAGCATCCTGCAAGGTAGTTAGCAGGGAGACCTACCCTGGCCTGAGCCCGCACGCATCCTCCTGGCTACACATCTGCCCTCCTCTTCTCTTCGAGCCTCTTTCTTCTCCCTCTAGCTCTCGCAGCCACTGTTGGCTTCTCCAAGGGAATTGGCTGCAGGAAGGGAGGAGAGGGGGGCACAATACCGATTGGATCAAGTTGCTTTCCTCTCTGCTGGGATGAGGCGTCCAACACTTGGAGCTGGGGGGAGCGGCTCGTTAGGGAGGCTGCGTGGCAGCTCAGAGCTGCGCCCCAGCAGCACGTCCCAGCCCAGCTATTGGCTGCATCCCTGCACGCGAGGCAGAGGAGCTCTGCCAGCGCAGCTGACGCCCAGCCTATCTCAGATTGCAGGCACCATCTGTGCGAGCCTGACATGAAGCTGGTGTGGCCAAGTGCCAAACTCCTGCAGGCAGCGGCGAGCGCGTCTCTGCGTGCCTACCACCGTGTCACCTGCAGCGTCCTGCCACTGCTGCTGGAGCAGTACACCAAGCACCCGCAGGTGAGGGGCATGCCGGGCTCTGTGGTAGTGGGCAGCAGGGCTCTGCAGGGCTGGGTGGGAGCAGGGTGCCATGGTGGATGCCCCCCAACCTTGTGTGGGGACCCTGCGAGCACCCTCTGGCCTTGCAGCGCTGGGCCGAGGCGTAGTCATGTCCCAGCGGTGACGGTGGTCTGGGTTATGCCTTCGTGTCCCTGCAGAGCAGCCAGAGGAGGACAATCCTGGAAATGCTGCTGGGCTTCCTGGAGTTACAGCAGAAGTGGGGACATGTGGAAGAAGGTGAGACTGGCTGGTCGCTCTGGAGGCACCTGTGTCCCAGGGGGCTGCTGGCTCTGGCCTCACCTTCCCATGTGCTGACAGAGAAGGAAAGCTCACTGGCCTGGGTGGCTGCATGTGCAGCCCCCCGCCACGTCCAAGGGACCCTTCGTGGTCCGTGTGTCCATCGGCAGGGCCCCAGAGAGCGTCTGTCGGGTGCTGCGGCAGCGCGGTGACAGTTGGATGCAGGTAGTGACTCCAGGCTTCTCTCTCCAGATGAGAGCACTCTGCTGTCACTCCGAGCCCCGGTTTGCTCTGTGGTGTTCTCGGCACTGACGGATCCCAGCGTGCAGCTGCAGCTGGTCGGGATCAGGGCACTGACTGTCCTGGGCTCTCTGCAAGGTTGGTGCCTCGTTTCCCTTGGGGGGGCAGAGGGAGGTGTCACCCAGTTCTGGGAGACACAGTGCCACGTGGCTGCCCTTGCCTGTGCTGTCTGTAGGAGCAGTGGCAGTGCTTCCTACCCAGTCCATGAGCTCCAGGGACATTTGGTCTCTCTCTTGCCTGTTTGTTCTGGACACCTTGTGTCTCTGGTGTTTGGCATGCTGCTGCGTTGCTGCCAGCCTGGACGAGGGGGAGGGATGCTGGCCAGAACACTGGCATCTTTGGCCAAATCCTCCACGGCTCATATTGCAGGCTTCCTGTCTCCCACCGACCTGGAACTGGTTGTGGATCACCTCATCCGTCTCGCGCTGCATGAGGAGGATTCCCAAAGCAGGTGAGGGGCAGGCTGGCGCCACTGCAGTCACCCACGCTCTGGGGGAAGGAACAAAGCCTGGCGTCACTGCAGAGCGGGGCTGTAGTGTGGGGGAAGGCACAGGAGCTGTCTGAACTAAGAGACCAGGTGGGTGTAAGAGCAGAGGGGTATACCAGCCAGTTTCTGGGCTGGAGATTAGAAAGTCTGGGCCTGTCAAAGTCGGGGGCTCTGCTCTGCCTGCCAGTAGGGTGAAAAAGGCAGATTGCTGAGGAATGGGTTTCTGGAGGTGCTTTCTGGCCCAGATCTTCGGAGCAGGAGCACAAGCAGCCCAGAGTTTGCAGTGCTCACATCACCCTTCCTGCTGTCTTTCCCCCTGGCAGCGAAGCAGCGATGGAGGCAGCTGGGTCCCTGGCCCCCATCTATCCGAAGGTTTTCTCTGGACGCATGGTACCCAGGGTTGAGGAGGAACTGCAGTCAGGTAGGGCTGGTGGTCCTGGGAAGGGAGCAACGTCTGGTTTTGGGGTGAAGCCTGTCCCATCTTCGTTTGGACCCTACCAGGCAGCAGGGCTGTGCCATATGATGTAGATCGGTGTCTCTCCTTTTTGGGGGATTCCCAGCACAGGCACTGTGATGCTGGCACGGGGAAGACCGTGCCTGGGGCTGGCAACCAGCCTGTGTGGCCAGTATCACCTTTTGGGGAGCAGGCACAGTGCCTTGGGGTGAGGGCTCACCCCAGCACCCCCCTGAGGTGTGTCTCCTCTTCAGAAAGGGAAGAGGAGAGCTCCCAGGACCACTGCTCCCTGCAGCAGCGCTGCCTGCAGGCCCTGGCAGCCGTGTCCACCCACGCCAGCATCGTGAAGGAGACAGTGCCCGTGTTGCTGCAGCATCTCCGGAAGGTGCAGAAAGGTAACGCAGCCTGCGACAGGCAGTTCCGCTGAGTGCGCCCAGGCAGGACCTGCCTCAGTGCCCAGGGATGGCTGGGAGAGAGCGGGAAGAGCAGTGGGGCGAGGAGCCCAGGGCTGGGCTGTGAATTCCACTGCTGGAGCGGGAGGAGGGAGGGCTGCACTGCCCTGGGATCCTGGCGCAGCTCAGAGGGGCGGGTGCTGTGGCTCTTTGACGTGAGGGTGACTGTGTCCAGCAGGGGACGAGGCCAGGAGTGCCCAAGACGTGGTCTCTGTCTGCCGGAGCCTGCAGCATGTGGCCCTGCAGTGCCAGCAGGATGCCGAGAGCTGCTGGTACTACCACCAGACAGTGGTGCCCTGCCTGCTGGCCACGGCTGTGCACGCTGCCATGCAAGGTAGGTGCGGGCTGGAGCGGAGCGGGGAGAGCCAGGGGATTCCTGGGCTCCCTGCTCCTGCTGTCCTCCAGCAGCTGTGGACCCCGCTGCCTCACCGCTTGTGTGGGTCAGGGTGCTGCGCCTGCGGGCTCCAGCGTGTCCCCTTCCTCCCGCTCCCTGCAGAGAGCACCCACCCGCTGCCAGGCAGGGCGTTGCTGCAGGAAGAGGTGCTGGCTGCCATGGTCCCCATCATCAGTGCTGCCACCACTCACCTGAGCCCTGAGTGAGTGATGCTGGGCTGGGCTGGTGCACTGGGGAGGGGGCTGGCTGCATCCCCTCCCCCCGGCTGCTGCCCGTTCCAGGGGACCCTGCGTCCCCTGGGACATTCCCGGGAGCTCTCTGGTGACCCTCCCAGAGCAGCACATTACGGTGTCTCCTTTCTCCTAGGCTGGCTGCCCAGAGCGTGTCTCATGTGGTGCCTCTCTTCCTGGACGGCGAGGTCTCCTTCCTGCCCCAGAACAGTTTTCCCTGCTCCTTCCAGCCCTTCGAGGTGTGTTGGGTGCTTGGGGCTGGGGTTCTGGAACAGGGAATGGGGATGTCGGCACAGGCTGGCAGCGAGGACTACGATGACAGGGTTGCCGTTCTTCTCCTGCAGGATGGGGAGTGCTTGGAGGCTCAGCGACGCCTGGTCGCCCTCCTCATGGCCTTCGTCTGCTCCTTGCCCCGTA